CATGCCAATCAGCTCTTCCGAAGCCTGGATCATTTGTCAAGTGTTTCAATCTCAACTCATAACACTCACCGGGTCCGATCATGCCTCCGACTTGTCCAAGGCGTTCTGAAGGGAAGTCCTGGCCTCCTGAGGTTGTCTACAAAACAAAACTCCGAAATGAGATCAATGAGATCCTGAAAATAACACCGGTGTCCTCCAGTGCCTTTTGTTTTTCGTCGATGTCCCCACTCACAGATGATGCGTACTTATCACCCCTGGGCGAAACAATCAACAGCAAACAGTCAAAACATTCCAACAGGAGCGAGCAGACCCTAAAAGGTAATTTTTGGAGGTGTCCGTTTTATAGCCCTAAAAGCTCCTAAACCGAATAAAAACGGACACCTGCAAAAATGGTCTTGGTTAGTAGGTGATCTTAGTCGCTGACAGATTTGCCAAGTTTGGCTTCAAGTCCACAGCCCACTTAATCTTTGAACTGGCATCAGAGATAGCCTGTGCGACCAAATGTTGAACAATGTTGAACACACATACTTGATTTCACGTTGCGGTATAAGATTGCCTTTTTTGACCTTTTCTCAAGATCCTTGATCCTTTCTTTCTCATCCTTATCTTTACCCTCCTCCGCTTTGTCTTTGGGCTTTGGCTGTGTCTTGTCTTTCTTCTTATTTTTCTTGCTCTTGTTCTTGGCCTGTATGTCAACAAGCAACTGTTTTTTGTAAAATAACTCACTGAGTGAGGCAGCGCATCCGTGAAGTACGTATATGACCAACCATTGATAGATTCTAGATCACCCAGAGCTGGCATAGGTTCAATTATTCTCGGCTTTAACACCTGCCCCACCTTGTTTTTCTTGTTCTTTGCTTTCTTGTCCTTCTTCTTCTTTTTCTTTGATTTGCTAGTAGAGCTTGAGCTTTCACTTGATGATTCGTCAATGCAATTGAACAGTCTGTCAATGCTTTCCTCCACCTCGGTTTCCTGGTCTTCCTCGACCAACGTTAAGAACTGCATCATCTCCTGCATTCCAACATAAGTACTAAGTACTAGAGGCGCTAGATGCAAGCTTAAGTTTGAAAAACTCCCACTGGACTGAGACCCCGCCTGGGAATCTGGAAGTTCTGGGTGGCGGCGAACTTCTTTCTCTTTCAGCTCTGGATCCAAAAGCTTACGGTTTCTGATTTGCTCCGCTAACTCTGGACCAAATCGTTCGTCCATCTCTTTGGCCGTCAGCCAACGACGGCGGCCCCGAACTTTCGAGACATGGCGAAGTTTCACATTCTGATAAAAGGTTGACTTCGTCCACTCACCTTCACAACTTGCCCAGGCCTCATAGAGGATTGAGTTCAAGCTGGAGCCTAGCAAAGGCAATTCATATCAATTCAAGATTCATAGGAAACTCACAACTTCCCACTTGGTTGAAGAATTGTCAAACAAAAAGTTTCCCTGGGAACCTTTTCTGAATAAACAACTGGTTCCCAGGGTCACTTGTCAGCAGCAAATGTAATTTGACAAAGAAACTCCAATGCTATATCGAGTAACTTCCATTAGCTTCCTTGGCCATTGCACGGATCTCCTTTGGAGCAGTGGGGCCTAAGTTGTATTTAATGAGCCCACATGAACTCTCCATAACTGTCCATGTCTGTTGTGTTATTTAGCGAACCCAAATGTCAAGATGATACCAGCTCTAAGTTCCACACTCCGAATGTTGCGCCAATACCGCATGTACCTCGCATGTGCTTTTCTTTTCTTCTCTGACATTTTATTTATCTCTTCATCAGTCTTCTTTTCAGCTTCAGTTTTCTCACCTTTGTCCTTATGCTCACCATTCCCAACATCAGCTGTCTTCTTTTCCTGGTCCGTCGGGTCCATAGACTGAGAACCTGCAGCATTCGACCGAGCCCCACTTGTGTCAGCCTGCGCCTGAGTCTCTCGAGATTCAGCTGGAATGTCTGGAGGTTTCTCAGGCTGGTCAGTCTTGTTCAGACCCTGAGGAGGTGCATCATGTGAAGGTGTATTGGCCTTGGGTGCGTTGCACTGAGCTGAAGGATCCCCGACAGGAGCTGGCTGGGGTTGCTGTGGTGCAACAGCAACCTGTGGACTGGCATTCACATGGCTAGGGTCCTTGGGCTCATCAAAGGAGTCAAGGTTGCGAAGTTCAGCCGAATTGGCTCTCAACACAGATTGGGCCCAGGCAAGCTCATCCGTATGACTGCTCCTGACAGACAATGGAGTTCCTGGCTGGCTATGCGTCCTTCGTTGGTCCCAATCCTTGTACTTGTACTGGTGATAGTATGACGAAGGGTCCCAATAAGCATTGTGGTATTCGCTTGGTGTCCACCCGTACGGGGGCCAATCCCAATCATCCCATTTGCTTTCCTCATACTCACGCCACTGGCTCACACCACCAGTGTAGTAGTCATCCAAATCCCTCCGATCAGTGTGTTGGGGCATACCACCACCCTCGGCGTGCCACGGTACAGTGCTTTGAGAGTCAGATCTCACGACACTGGATGGACGCGAACTAGTGGTCTCACGGGAAGTCGGAGTACCTGTTTGGCTGGTATCATCGGGACTTGTTCTATCGCAACGACCCTCAGCCTTTTTCTTCACAACTTTCTTGATGACCACAACTTTTCTTCTCTGTGTTCCTGGACAGAACTACTGTATGCACACTGTTCAAGATATCAGCCATATAGATCGTTCATATGTCACTGCAAAAAACGTAACATGCGGTATTGGTGGTACCTGTTTCATGTGCATCAGCTGCTACGTTATCGTCTTTTTCACCTTCTGTCTCCACTTCCCTGACATATTGTGTTCAAAGTCATGACCAAGCGGGTGAGCGTTTAAATAAATTGATATAAAAACAATATAACAAACAAAACCAGGCCAGGTGTACCCCAAGACTAGGGTCTTTGCTTTCAGAAGTCTCGAAGCTTCCTCCTCCGATCCCTTCGATCCCTGTGAGTCTGCCGTGTCATGGTTCCCACTGACACGCGCGTATCGTTCCTTCGCCTTTGCAAGAATCTCTTTCACATGTTCGCACTCCATGTGACCCCAACCAGGTCTCACCTAAGGAGAGCGGCCTCTGAAAACGGCTGCTTTTCACGAACTCAACATGACTGAATTCATTGTGTCCACACACGCGCACTACCACAGATGTTAGATGAAGACTTAGCTGCGCAGTAGAGCCGTTTTTCAATCACACAACATGTCAAAAGGCCTGAGTTGGCACCCAAAGCTCGAGCAAAAACGAGTGCATTTGGAGGTCCAAGTATCACGGGTCGTTCACGGGTAAACTTGGTGTTTCACGGGTAAACTTGGGGTTTCACGGTCCGTTCACGCGATTTCACGCTCATGTATTTTTTGGGGTCCACCAAGTTCATTTCTTTTGTGACAAATTCACACTCGAGCTTTCATGTTGGCGCCGGAATCGAATTAAAATTCATTGGATGTGCAAATTTGCATACCGATGCTCAGCCATATGTGTATGGTTCCCGGTCATTGACAGGGCCTATCGGTTGAAACAGCCCTTTCTCAGCGGCCTTTGTGACAAACCGCTTCAGGACGGCAACGTTGGCCTTTCGCCAAGCCCCCTTCCACTTTGCCTGAGGCACGGTGTGCAGGTGGCAGGTGGTAAAGGGTTTGGGTCAGCAGTCCAGTACTTCAAAACAAAACTCCTTTCACCTCACACTTTAGTCCAAGAAACACATTTGGTCTTTTTGGCTTGCACTAAAGCAAAAGCAACCTTGATCTTGGCCAACAGTTGGAGTCCATTGTGGTCCTGGCTTTTTGAAACTAGTCTAGAAAGACCATGATCAGGCACTTGCACTCCTTGTTCATTTGGTAGAGCTCGAACACACGGCGTCCAAATCCATCTGGATAAGCGGCAGTTGCCGCCAACCCTGGGCCACCGCACCTGAAAAATGCATTGAACCATTCTCAGTTGTAAATTTTGGCAACGTAGGGTCATATGATTATAATGTTCCTCCCTCGCAAGTCAACAACTGAGGTAGATACACAGAAGTTTGACCATTCTTTGTTTTTTTGAAGGTGATCTTGAGACGCTTCGAGTTTGCAAGCAACTTCTTGCGCAAAGATTTGGACGGCTTGGCATAAAGATTGCAAATCCACGGTCTTAGTGGCCCAAACTTCACAACTCTCACCACTCACCGATTGCAGCAGGTGTGCTCCCGAGAACATGACGGTGTGCCCCAGACCCTCGTCGGCTTCAGCGTTGGTGCACCCCACGCTCCCATCCACCTGGGCGGTGAGAGGTGAAACGAGACTTGTTTGTTCGGTTTGACAACTAGCACTCTGGTCTGAGATCTCCACATGTATTGAGTGAGCCAAGATTTTCCACCCAGGTGTTTTTGAATAGCTGCTGCCACAGCTTTGAGGTCCGGATAGTAACGCATTGTACTGGTCCCTGGCTGTTCCAGCACGGTGTAAACACCACGTACGGTGGCCAGTAGAAGAAGTAAAAGCGCTCGCGAGCACAGCCTAAGCTTCACCAACCAAACATGACAGATCTCCCAAATTAAACCACCCAATGTTTTCCAAATTATTTATCCAAGAAACAGGGAACCCATCTCCACGTGTGGAAGGCTCTCATCTCCATATGGCCTATGTTCCGACCTTCGTGATGTGCCTAAATTCATGAATACGAACGACCCACACGGTGGTCCCATCACCAGCACTCCATCTGGGACACACCGAAGCACATTGAGAATTGCCCGGAGAAACCCTGGCCTAGGCACATCGGGTGCAGCTCATGGTCAGCGTTCGTGACCGGTCAGCAGCTTCTCTGAAGAAACAAGTTTGAGCACAGCACGTGGAAGCCAGGTCATGTGCTGGACCCATCTCCAGATCTTGGGACACCCTGAGACAGGGTGTTCACTAGCTTATGTTTTGGTGTTTGGAAAATGTCTTACTCTGTGCCCCCGACGTTTTGCATCCATTCAATCCTTATATGGCGGCCACTCCAGGAGAGGTCGTGAGACAATAGATTCATAGAATGAATGTCTATCCACCTCTCTGGTTCAAGTGGCTTTCCCTAATAAAGCCACTAAGATCAAGGCGAAACGCTGATCCAACAGCTCCCTTTCCCGCAAAGCAATCGAAGCACTCAACATCCTAGGGAAGGTGATGCTGAGTTTGTTTGATATTCGGACATGATCATGACCAGTGTATGGACTTTAGACTCTGATAGAATCTGAGCATATAACGCGGCCATAGTGTTTGTAGCTAGTAGCTGCCACGAAGTCACACAAGTCCAGCCTGAAGCTGGCAGCGAAATCGTTAAAAGTTACTTAACTTGGGACGCCTTTCAACTTTCCAAGCTCACGACAATGTCTTCGGCGCTCCAAGGTTAAGGAGCATGACCGCTGCGCACGCGGTCAACGCGAGCTGCGAGGCTCTCCAACGGGGTGGCATCCTGTCTCAGCCAGCTTACCTATGCCGACTCCACGTGCTTGAGCAAAGGCAATCTCAGGCAATGAACAAAGCTTATTTAATTCACGATTTCTATACAATACAAATGTCAAAGAACAACGCATTGGCATCCAAATCCGACCCCACCAGTTTTGAAGTCAGCGGGCATTTGGTCCTAAACCCCTGATCCAACTGACAGCACAGTGTCAGTGAGCACCCCTATTGATCCGATGGATCGATCAACGGTCAGTGGGCTTTGCCAAAGATAAACAAATCCAGTTGCGTGTTGCGTTCTATCTCAAGTCTTTAAAACGAATCGGACATACCCACTCGCAGACCCGTGCCACATCACATAGGACATGACCAAAGACCGGCTCAAAAGGCCAGCCATTTTGCTAAACGGCGAGCATAGTCCCACCTAGGAAACTAACGCGCCAAACATGTTCCTTGTAAATAGTGTGTGTGTGTGT